ATTACAGTACAACAAACATACATACTTTAGATCTCTTTGGTTGGGTAATTAAGCACAGATATGTTTGATGATACACTCTGGGGCGGCATCACCTAACAGTGCAGTAAAGTCTTCTGATTATTCCCTCCTCTAATGCGTACATTCCGCTTAAGTTTCATATTTGTTGTAAGGCACAATAAACCCATATCGCAGAAATAACTGGTTAGTTCTGGACAAACAGTACATGCAGCAAAAGAACAAACAACTTCTGAATATGAATCCTGAAAGTCAGAAGATTCACCCTCTCCTTGAGTTCAGAAATTTAAGAAGCTAGATTTAAATTATATGAAACATACAAGTAAGGTATAAAATATCCTTCAAGATAATAACTGCTAGGAGATACAGGAAGACTTCAGGTTTCCTTGCTTGTGAAATGTCATTACTTTTGTTTCCACAGTTACAAAATTACTATTCTTTTTATGATTTGAGATGCTTCTCAACCACAAGCACTAGGCAATTCATGACCCTGGGAGTCCTGCACACATATTTCATACGAAACCAGAGGGATGCACCCTCTTGGTTGTTCACCTGCCCTAGCTAAGAGAAGTGCACAGGCACTGGAAATCTACATAGAGGAAAAGCTCCTGCGCACCTGGGGCCAAATTCTGCCCTGCTTAATTTAACTGAAAGCGTTATTGAGGTGATTTTATAGGATTTGCAGTCAGTATCTGTCCGTTATTGTCATTAATCTCAGATTGATAGTAATAACAATAAAGATGGTTCCAGCCTTACTCCTGGGTAAAGCAGCTTTCTGAATGAGTCTTCCTGAAATCACAGGTAGGGTAAAGCAGTAACTGGGAAGAGGTATACGCTTCGATAGACTGTGACCATTCGGTTAGAACTGTCTGAGTGTCAGCCCCGGGCACTGGTTCATACTGCCACCATATACTGGGCCAAATCCATCCCTGACTCAACTCCAGTGAAATGAATGGACCATATTCTCGGCTGGTGTGAAAGGACATGAAAGTCAATGGAACGGTGCTAGTTTAGCCCAACCGAGGACCTGGCCGATAGATGTCCATGATTTATGTGGCTGAAATGTCCTTTTCGGTAAGACCACAGGATTAATGCTGCAAATAGTCCAGACAGAGCAGTCAGTTTACTGTATTTCTGGTTCTCTGCAAAACTCTGGGTGAAACAGAGGCAGCTTTAATTAAAAGTAGTAAAGAACAAAGGGTTTTAACATCACGCTTTGTAGGAAGTTGCTTAAACTTTAAGCGTATTTTTCAAAGCAGAGTCTGGGACCAGAAAAGTAGTAGAATTTGGCAATGTTTCCTGTAAGATTTCCAGTGGCCTTACAAGTTACAAACATATGTGAAGTTGAAACAATCCTTTATTCTCATCTGTAACAGAGAGAGAGGGAGGGAGAAGGAACATGTATGCCAAATAGACATACCTTCCATTTAAACATCAGAATGTGATAATAAGGACTGTCTGTGGGGCTTGGACACTCACTGCCATTCCCGTGTGCGGGACACGAGCATCCATATCCCCTAAACACCATGTAAAAATCCTCAGTTTGGGAATCAGTGGAGCAATGCCTTATTTACAGCAGCTGAAGATCTGGCCCCAGATGCTTTTTGGGACTTTGTGTACTGTCTATTTAGAGCAGTCAGCCTGCTTGCTTGAGGGCCACATAATAAAAACTGACCCTTATTTTACAGTAGGAGTAAAACTACTATTTAAATATCTATTTTAAAAACATTGTACCGTGCAATGAGTCTTTATATTGTGCATATGTACCTGCAGAAAACATGAGGTTATAACTACGTTATCTGGAGGGAATGACACTTATTTTCAATGGGAGAAAGAAAGAGTAAAACATAATAATAAGTTACTTGATATCTGGAAGACTAGAACAGATTAATCTTACTTTGTCCCAAACCACTGCTTTTATGTACATCCTCCGCTCCCACTGAAGAGTGGGAAGTCTCCTATTAGAAGTACCAGACTCTCCAAGATACATGCCACTGTAGCAACATACACAGTTTTCACGTCAACTGTGCTGCAAAGCCACGGGATTCAGAGCCGCAGTAACACAACAAATGCAAAGGAGGAAAAACGAAAAAAAAAAAAAAAAAAAGAAGAAAAGAATAAAAAAGTAACAGGTACTGGTGTAACACCACAGTCTTTTCAGTCACAAGACCTGATCACGTCAACCACTGAGAGAGTGCTCCGAAACACTCTCTAGCTTGCCTCCAAACACCATCTGAGCTTCGCAGATGAAATGTTAAGCCCCAAACAACTCCTCCAGAGCCACGCACACGTTTTCCATTAACATGACAATGATACAGGGTCCTTCTATGCAAAGCAGATACAGCTACTGTTATCATCATCATCTTGGTTTTTATGGGCGAAGAAGAGGTGGGAAGCAGATTACTCATGCTGCAGCCTAGCAAACAGATAAGCAAGCAGAGCAGAGAGGAGAACTCTGGACTATCCGATTCCCTGCTTACATGGAGATCCCCGGAATGTCAAGGGAAGTTGTGCCAGGGGAACATATAGCTCCATGTTCTGCTTGTGATAATCTCCACTTTAAAGCACTTGCCTTAAACACCCCTTTTGCTTGGGAGCACGCGGGGACAGCCAATTGCTTAGGGGCTGCTTCTGTTTGCAGGGCATCAGTGACTCGGTGCAGCTGCCAAGCGCACGCCTTGCACACTCGCTCTTCCCTTTCCCTGCACTTTTCCCTGCAGCCCTAGAGACTCTGGCTCGCAGCGTGGACTCCAGTGCTGACCGACAAAGCTCAGCTTCCAGGTTCCACAGCATACCTTGCAAAACACGCTGTATTCAATATAGTGCAAAACAATAGCGAGGATGCCTATGCCGTGCTCGCGGCGCACAGAAAAAAACCCCTTTCATTCCTCAAAGGCTTTCCACAGAACCAGTTAACAACCAAGACAGAAACAGACTGGGATGTGCTACCTCTATTCTCTTTCCTTTCCATTTTTTTTGTCCGTTACAAGTGATCTTGTTTTGTCCTGGGCCTGATCCAGAGCCCACAGAAGCTTGTGAAAACACTTTGCATTGCCTTCCAAAGGCTTCGGACCAGGCCCCTGATGAGGATGAATACATGCTTTAGTCACCGTATATATTCACATTAGAATAAAAAAATAACAAAACAAAACCACAAAGATTAACAGCATGTCATTTTTATACATCTGCATTCTTATTATTATTTTAAAGCTTAAGGATGTGCTTTTCCATGCTACAAAAACTCCTCTGGAGGAAAGGTAAGATCTGTTCCAGCTGCCCAGAGCCTGCCTGCTGCTGCTGTCCCCGGCGCAGTGCAAAGGGCTGAAGGGAGAGGAGACCCATCCCTGCCCAGGCAGAGACCACGGCTGCTCCCACAAGCCCTCTGGGCAGCTGCAGTTCCCCGCACTGCTTATTCTGGAAGAATATATAAATACACACTTAAGTGCACTCCTGGATGGGGGCCTGCTTGCTTAAACAGCAGCTGAAGCCCTCCCACACGGTCTGTTTGGCCAATGGGTCCATGCAAACATGGGACTCCCTTCCCTGGCCTGCCCATCCAACCCTTCCCGTTCATCTGCCCAAGGCTGGAGCCAAGGCCCTTTCCACGGCACAACGGCTCTGCCCATGGTCCCTCTCTGGACTCCTCCTGCCCTGCTGACATGGTGCAGAAGGACCTATCTTTGGCTCTCTGCACCGCTAGTAAATGTCACCCACGATGACCAACAGACTTAAAAAACTCTTCTTACTCGTGCAAGTAGGGGCATCGAAGTCAGCGGGCCTACTTGCAGAAGTAAGGCATCAGGATTTGGCCCTGAGGACGGATATTTGCAAATCAGTGTTTTTATTCCTCCTGCCACTGTGCTTTAGTAACAAAGATAAGGCCACTAGGAAGAAAGGCACGTGGAATTCTGTAAAAAATACACAAAAAGGTTCAACTAATTCGCAAATTACTAACAAAACAAACAAAAAACCCCTGAACACAAAAGACAGAGTGGGGTAGAGACAGGGACCTCCTGGGTTTGTGAGACTGGGAGTTCATTTTCTAGTTTCAGTGTGATTAACATTTTACTTTTACAGTCTATTGCTTGAAAAACTACAAAAAAGTAAAACCTTGTCAGAAATAACTACGTTTACTTCCTGCTCAAACAATAAAAATAAATTAAACAGCCAGAAAACGTTTTCCTTTTCAATGCATTGTGTCTAAAGTGAAAGGGAACATAAACCATAAATAAAATCCATTGTACTAATCTTAAAAAAGTCTCCTTTATAAGAACTGAAACAATATTTACATTCATACTGGAGAGAAAGCTTCTGAGTTGCATAATTAGAGTTTCAAATGATGCTTTTTCTGGTGCACTGACAAAATGCTAGCTGTAGCATTAGAAACCTGTAAATGTTTGATGCGAGATTTTTGGTTTGAACACAAGTCTGCCGGAAAAAAGCAAACACACCAGTAACAATATTGTTTATGATTTTGTTTCGTTTCTTAACCTCAAACAACGTAAAAGTAGCCGGTGAGGTATCGTCTAGAGTTCCTTAAAAATTTCTCAATGCCCACGGACTAGAAGTAAACAGCAAAAATGACTGCATTGTTTCTACCTTTTCGGAGCGAGATTTTTGTTTTCTATCTAAAGTCAGGAGTGTATACTTACTGTTGAGAGCATGTTGTACTATGGAGAGTCTAGTTAAATTATCAGGGTAGTATCTCTTAGCCAAACCTGTACGCATTCGCTCGGTACTTGCCCTGGTGTTTCCTTTCTCCTTTAGTCTGCTTAAAAGAGAACGCTGCATGCAAACCAAGTGTGGCAACCTAATTCCATTGCTGGAGATTCCTCTGTACATCGATTCAGACCATTTAAATGTTCTTCCGTTCTCTTTAAAAGAAAAAAAAACCCCACCAAACAAAAAAAACCCCACTTGGTGCTTGTTAGGGCCTCAACAGGAGACTTATCTATTAAAACAGAAAGCAAGGGAAAAAAAAAAAGTTACAAGTCTTGCATATCTTCATCCATCTGAACTGTCTGCAGTTTGGCAAGTTCTTTTTTGTCCGTTTCCAGTTCTTCACAAACCGTGTCAACCATGTTACTCATAACATACTTGGACTTCGAATCCAGCATCATTAAGCTGCCAGTTGACTTACTCTCAGAATTAGGTAAGAAACTCTCTTTGACGTCAGGTAAGGCTTGCAGAACCAACCTGTGCTCTCTGACAAAATCTTGATGTACCTGTGCAGAGGGGTGGCTGACACGGTCTCCGCTTGTAGAAACTATTTCTCCAAGCACGGGCTGCGCTGTAGAAATGGACAACAGATCTTGACTGGTAATGAGGGAACAGTTCTGAAGGGTTGCATAGTTAGTGTTGCTGATAGATATCACGGTAGAGGTACTGGTCACGGGTGATGACATGGACTGGCTCTCCGAGATACCAGAGTTCAGCTCTGCAGCATTTAGAAGAGTTGGCGGTGTGAGGGAAAAATTATGTGAGGGCGTTACATTCACTAACGAGGAGGCCAGGGACTGGAGTCCTCCGCTGGATATATTTTCAGAAGACATGTTTACATTTAGTTGTGTGTTCTGACTGACTGGCATCAACTGAGAAAACACAAGGCTTCTTTCCAGTCCTTCTTGCTTGACAGAGCCTACTGCCTGGCCTGAATTGGGAACTGTATAAACAACTGCACTCGGAGCGAGGGGGCTGAAGAAAACCTTTCCTTGCTGCACTGTTGAAGATTCAGTTGTAAAAGTTCCTCCATCAGATGTGCTGGGATTTACTGAAATGTTACCTAGAGAAAGGGAAGCAAAAGAAAGGAAAACACAGATTATAGCTGGCAGAGAGTCATGCAGGCTTTTTGTTAAGACGACTTGATCTTTTCTTTTTATGTTTGCAGTACACACGTATGCTAGTATCACATGCAACACAGAACAGCGTTGTTTATAACGGGCAAGAGAAAATTCGGTATGAAGAAATAAAAGCTGTTAATAGAAACTGCTTCTAGAAATCAAAAAAAAAATGGCTCTGGTATATTAGGTATCTTTCAGACTCTCATTAAGGGGCAAACAGTCCCCAGCCATGTGATTGAAATGAACGTGCTTTGGCCTTCACTAGTTGCCACCACTCAATTTCTGTCTAAGAATAGAAGCATGAAAAGCTATTAAAGATAGTTCAGTGACAGACTACAGCTTGTGTGCGGGACCCAGAGACACGTCACATGAAATCCGCGGCTGCTGGGCAGAACTCACCTGAGTCAAAACATCAAAACCCAGTAACTTCTATCGGGTTAACCAGGTAGTTCGTCAAGCACTTGGATGTATTGCCTTTCACCTCACTTTAGCACCTATTTCGAAAAGACTAACCCCACCACGTCCACCACGCAGTGTAAAGTCACCCGGCAACTGCCTACCCTCACTGAAAGCCACGGCACCGCTCGCGTGATGTGGCAGCTAGCCAAAGTAAGAGGAGGTGGCCAGAGATGACACGAAGCTGGTTTTACTGGACACGCCACGTAAGTGGTCATTATAATCATTCCTAAAATAAGACATACTGGCTCTCGGGATTGGGTCCCACTTCAAACACCTCTCCTTCTCAAAAGCAGTTTAATCATAAGAGGCTACCATTGGAGATACCCGCGTTTTTTAGAACAGCACTGAAGATTAATTTCTCACCTGGGCAATATTTTAGCTCCCTATTAATTTCTGTTAATCAATGATGATTTTTTGGAAGGTGTTACTTGTATGCGTAAACTAGAAGAATAAAGGGAGGAAACTTCAAGTTAGCTGGCCATATCATTTACTGTAGCTTATTTAAAACAGCCTGCAGCACACTTCACTTGGAATAGGCAGCCAGCTATCCCTCCATCTTCTGTTAAGAAAAACAAGAAAAAGAAACCAAAGCAGCGAATACACGTTTTTACTTTTCTCTGCACCAGACTAGACACATGGTGGATCACTCTCCAGTGGGAGTTGGTATTTTTAACAACGGGGAAAATGTTCAGAGAGGAGCTTATTATGAATCTTAGGACTTTCAAACACAATAGTCCCACACTACTCAAGGGACAGAACTTTCTCACCTTTGCTGTCTGTCAGTTTATGCCTTGGAGCCATGTGGATTGAATGGCTTTTGTAATTACAGGTGGTATTCAGGCTAAATGTCTCCTCTTTTTCATCTTGGTTAAACTACATACCAGTAACTTCCAGTGACTGTGAGTGCCACGTTTAAAATGTGTTTGTACAGCTTCAGTGTTCCTCCCCGAATTACAGCAAGAATAATTCACTCCCTGTACACACTGAATTCAAAGAAGCTAACATGAGCACAGTTTGATTTTCATTATAGTACTCACAGTTCCTGAAACTAGAGAGATTCATTCAAGTTTAATCATTTTCACAACCAAAGATACAGTGGCTAATGAGTAACAAAGCTGTTCAGTTGTGCTTTATAACCGACCTGCTTCAAATCAAGGATCCAGAACTAGGCTTGTGCTCCCTGGGATTCTTCCCGGCTGGCTGCAAGTTTCAGACTATGGTATGTTAAGACAAACTAACGCAAACTTGGGGAGGAGCCTGCACACTTGGCACGTGAACCTGCGATGACATATTTCCCTTGGACTGAGGGCAGTTTTGTCCAAATACCCTCACATTTCACATCGACGAGCTACTGCATATTTCTATTGTTTCTCTGCAGTTTAATCTTTCTTAATTACAGGACAGAAAATGTATCAGCATCTTGCTTGGTCTTGTTGTGTCTATAATAATTTATTTTTATGAAATGCTTTGCTTAAAAAACCAAAACCCCAAAACAACCACCACAAGAACAACAACGGTAACAATCTCCAGCTGCCACATTTTTCATTTTCATAAACCTTCTCATGAAAAGAATTCAATGGGAAATGGGGAATATTTTGAATTACTGAAATGTGTAAAATTGACAGATATTTGTAAGGGCTGGTATCACAGACTTCTGAGAACAACACGAGATGAAAGGGGTGTAAAATACCAGACCTCCTTCTCTTGGTAGATGAGCTCAGCCTCGTGTAACAGTCTGTTCCTGAGCGTAAGCCACCATAAAGTTATTATTTGATGTACTGTGTGTGGCCGTGGCCACAATATAATCCTGGTACCTTGGAGGAAAAGGACCACAGCTTCTAAAACACTAAGTGTGCCCAATTCCGACTTTTTCTCATACCTCTTACTGTAAGAGACAAAACTTTTACCTTGTGAAGCTGCCACAGAAACGGGAGGCAGCTGCAGAGAAGAAAACCCGATGCTTCCGTTCAGCAGCTGGCCATTTGTTCCTGAATTGGGGATCTGGACAATGCCATACTGGTTTATTTGGACAGGAGCAGTAAAAGTAACTACAGAGCCTCCATCTTCGGAAGCAGCAGTTTGTACGCCTTCCCTTTTCACCTCTGAGCTTGGTATCAAGCCCGGGAATGAGACCGGGATGTTGCTGGGGCTGAAGGTGGCTGCTGCGGCGTTGGAGACCGAAGCTTGAAGGAGTTTGAAGTCCTTAACATCTTCTGAGGAAGACGACAGTATGTCGGTAATGGACACCCCATTGCTCACAACGCTCGATGTGGTTTTGGGTGAGTTTAAAGTAACCGTCTGCGAAGCCCCTACGCTGAGTCCATTAAGAATGACACCGTTGGGTCCCTGAAGAAAAGAGCTACCATTGAGAAAGACAGGAGAGGTACTGGCAGGCACGAGGTTTCCATTCAACAAGACGCCAGATGAGCTCAAGGCTATTTTAGTGTTTCCGAGCTGCTGCATGTAGACGGGCTCTGTGTGGCTGGGAAGGCTGAGGCTGGTAACGCCATCAGATGAGCTGGAGAGCGGATGGGGAGATAAATCCTCCTGCCCCTTACTGGATTCATCTTCCGTGCTAGGGTTGCCATCTGACTCGCTATAAGAAAAGATGGAGAGATGACATTGCATTACCACTGTGTGCCAGTGAACTCCGCACCAAGGGGCACTCCTTGCTTTGATACCGTTTGTGAGAGTTTTCCCCAATAGTTTTTCCTGTGTTTTGCCTTTACAAGCCACTTTAAGTCAAGGGAGAGGCCTCTTAGAATAAGGACACATCAAATCAAACGCTCACTGAGGAGAAACTTTACAGGCTGAGTTATAGACTTGTAAATAAACCCCCCCTCCCTGGCCATCCGACCCGGGGGACCGATTGCTTTGATACCGTTTGTGAGAGTTTTCCCCAATAGTTTTTCCTGTGTTTTGCCTTTACAAGCCACTTTAAGTCAAGGGAGAGGCCTCTTAGAATAAGGACACATCAAATCAAACGCTCACTGAGGAGAAACTTTACAGGCTGAGTTATAGACTTGTAAATAAACCCCCCCTCCCTGGCCATCCGACCCGGGGGACCGAACGGGGCTGC